AACGGTAGTATGCTCGAACTTCGACGTCCCAACCCTCGACATTGTGTCGTTTCGAGGCCAGAATCAAGCTAATATCAGTATTCTTGGCAAAGGTGACGAATCCATAGGCAAGTTGTCTCCCATTAGAGGGCACGACAGCTCGTCTCACTTTCGTAACACATCCGAAACGTGAAAAGTACTCCCTGACGGCTTCCGAAGATAGTTTTCTCCCGATACCGCCTACAAAAATAGTTGGTCCGGTAGCGATGTCAGGGTTTTTCATCTTCTCCTCCTCTTCCCACTGAACGTTCGCAGATTCGAGAGATGGGCTTTTCGTGGGCAGCAAAGGAACGTAAAGATAATCAACAGATTGTTATATTAAAATTGATACCACAATGAGAAATTCCAAACAACGATCATTGCAGTTACGCCTTTCCGCGTCTCACTTCGATATCCGAAAATATATGTTCCCTAGATGCGAACTTTCGCTGATATTGCTTCTAGTGAACGCGGTCACCATAAAAATCTTACTTTGGATGTTAAATTAAGGCAGTTAGTTAATGGTTGTGGGAACGTTAACAAGACTAGATGCTACAAGAAACACAGATTCCTTTAACCGAGTTCTGATACTACAGGAGGTTATCCAAAAGATTGCGAATACTTAATTTGGGAACCATATTGTGAGAGCCGAAAAGTCAAAGTGTCTTAACTACTGCTGAAGAACATGGAGCACAAAATAACCTATGGGATACAAGCCTCGTTAAATAATTTTCTAAATTGCCTTTATACTTAAAAACTAACCATACTGAGTTTCGTTCTGAATCATCGGAGGCAGAACGCTCCTTAACATTGATAGGAACACCGCATACAATGTGCTCCGTTTTGAGGATGTGGTTGGTATCTGCTGTCGGCCGCAGCCTGATGTAGCCACTTCCATTGTGTTTGTTTATCGTGGGATTTATAAACAAATCCACTTCAACCAGATCCCCAAAGCGGGCAAAGTGGGTCTTCAGGTCCTCCGCAGTTATAACAGCCTTCACGCCAGTCACAGATAATTCAAGTAGCTTCTGGGCTTTATAAAACACCTGCTGATTTCGTGAATCATCTTCCTGCTGTTGCTGCTGCTTCTGTTGATTCTGTTGTTCCTGTTGCTGTTGTGGTTTTGGCAGTTGGACGGGTTTGGTCGGATTGGACGGTTCTTGCATCGCAGTTTCCATGGGATGCTCTGGAAGTAGTGACTGCAGATCATAATACTGGGAGACCCTATGGATAAAAAACCAAAAATAAGTCTTTCTTTTGCAGACGATGCCTTATTGAGTTAAAATTCAGGCATTGTTAAACCCCTGCAGGATCGTTCAATTATAGAGGCTTAAGATCGTTGAGGCAGCGAGCTTTGTACTCAGAAAACCTTTAGTTGATTTGACCTTTTTCAACACTTTTAGTCTTTTAATATTAGCGGGCATACGTTTACTTTTGATAAACTATCGTCAGGCCTATACATTTATATCGTAATATAACTAAATAAACTATGCGGGTAAGTGGACAAAATAGTGCATTTGTCAGGGCAGGTGGTGGGGGGGAGGTTAATCGGGGTCAAAAAATCTGATCAACTTTAGGGGGGATTGGTATCCGAGAGAGGTCATCAACTCCGGACCGTTGGATTAGTGACTTTCGGCCATGGTAACTGCGACGCCGTTAGGAAGATCTTTTGGGCGCACAGGACCAGTTGGCGTAGCCTA